TATCCGGCGGCCCGGCGACTCGGCAACCCGGCAGCCGAGCCGATTGTCCGCCAGGCCATTGTCAAAGCGCCCGTGGCTGCGGCACCCGGCGGACAATCGGCTCAGCTGCCGGGTTGCCGAGTCGCCGGGCCGCCGGATACCGGGAGGAAAAATATGGCATTTTCTTACTTATTTTTTCAGGCTGTTTTCGCATATTTTTTGCGACCAAAAAGTTCCAAATTTCTCTCGTGTCTATAACCTGAATTAGTATCCCCTTCAAATCTAAGAACATTATCTCACCATTCTCAAGTTTCTCACACTTTGGTGGTGAGACTGAGAGGATTTTGGGCATAGGTACAGCATGGCATACAGCATTTTCTCGCATTTTATGCATTTTTGACTTAGATACTCTTATGACACATTAGTTTCTAATCACCATGGCTATGAGCAGCTGCTCAGTCCATGATAAGCCTTGTAGCTGTTGTAGAACTTGACCAATCCAAAGACTATTAACTAAGGCTAAGTGAGAAATTCTTTGTTCTTGCAAACTATCATAGCACTTTAAGCATATATGCTTACAGCTCTTATCAAGTACAAGTCCAGATATATCTACCTCTTTCTTCTTTGGACATGTGACTTGGTATCTTTGTTTGGCTCATATACAGTTAGAATCTCTGGACAATGTGTACATTTATGCTGAGTCAGCTTAGCTACAATAGATGCTCTTTCAATATGCATATTGCTATAAATTGCACCATGCTTCTGGTCAATTGTAATAAGCATGTGATTTGTAGCTTTGTTACAAAGAGCTGATAAAGGAATAGCAGCTGTAGTAACATTGGAGAAAATATCTCTATCTGAAGCCTGTATATAACCAGCAATACGATAAGTCTTGCCTTGCACCACATTAGCTGTAGGATCAAATTCTAATAACTTCTCAGCTGTTCACTTTTGTTTGGACTGTACAGTACTTGGACCTCCACCAATCATAAACTCAGGTGATTCACAACCATCAGTCAGCTTCTGTGATAATAGCTGGCTAGACTTAGTTAGACTGAGATTATAGAAGAAGTAAGTTGAAGAGAATATGACTAATTTCCTTAGCTGATTGATAAAGTCATAAGAATACTGCACTTGTTAATATAGCAGAGTATAAACTATGTATACAGTGTTAATAACTTGTCTGTCAGGTGCAGCATACAGATACCACCATGGTAGAGTATAGCATGAAGATTTATTCCAACGATCAAGATTGAGGTTTATAGTTTCATTTGTACCAGCAATGAAATACAAGTTCACAAGTTTACAAGTATTTAAACTGCCTGCTTAGTCAGACAGTGCAGAGCTTATAGAAGTAAAGCTGGTGCCTGCAACTATGCCAGAATACAGAGAGATGGCCTCTGAAGCCATGTCACAAAGTGGCTGGAGTCTTTCTGGACCCGTGCTCCACTCAATCATGACCAAGCTGCTTCTAGTGGTGTTTATACTGCCTGAGCAGGGAGACAGTACAGAGATTCTGGAGATGGCACCTATAGCCATGCCACAAGGTAGCTAAAAGCTTTGATTATCCAGGCTCCACTCAAGTTGGACTGGGATGCTCTTGTGGTCTAGCCTGTCTGAGTATGAAGACAGAACAGGAATTTTAGAGATGGCCCATGTAACCATACCGCAGTGTGGCTAAAGGCAATTATATCCCAGGCTCCACCCAATCTGAACTAGAAGGCTCTTTTGATCTAGTCTGTCTAAGCCAGAAGACAGGACAGAGCTTGTATAAATGGTGCATTACCATTTCATTCTATGTGTTCAGTTTAAGATTTGTGCCAAAGGTGTCTAAAGTGAATCTATCTAAAGTGTCAATAGAAGCCACTAAAAGATAGCAAGCAAGATAGAAAATGAGAGGCAACCCAAATCTACATGAAGACTTGGAGAAGTTACACTTGTGAAGCATGTTGTAAGCAGAAATGGTGGTGGTCAAGAAAAAAGAAGTGTATGAGGTATACTTACTCCTTCTCTCAGTTGGGTCTGAGGTGGCAAATTGCGCATTTTGAGAGAGCAATTGCCATATTCTTATAGAAGGGTATTCAGCCTAAGTGCTGAAGAACCGCAGAACACAGCCTATGTATGCACTCACAATGTTTTCCCCTCTCCTTCTCTTTCTTCCCTCTTCATGGTTTGTAGAATGCAATGCATACATTACACAACCCGCAAGATGACTGAACAGCTTTCTCTGACAACCGCCATCAGGCGCAATCCATCTAGCTGATGCTCACGATGAAAGTGGGCAGATCACGGTTCCTAGTTGCCTTGCGCTTGTTCATGTCATTCACTCCTCACTTCTCTCTCTCTCATGGCTCTCATCTTGTTCTAGTTATTCTCCCTCAACTCTCTTTTTCCTTCGTACTATGTATGGCTCACAACAGTCATCAACGAGGCTTTCAGAACACAGGATGTACAGTGGCCGCCAAAAATAATGCACAACACTACAAAGGGGTGTTATAATCCCTCCATATCTTCACAACCACCATACCTAGCCAGATAGTGTATATACAAATCTAATACTAGGCTACTATTAGCTTCCTTCTGAGGTATCACTTTGTTGCAAGCACCAGGTGCCAGAATAAATGTAGTGAAAATGGCTGAAAAATAAATATATATTGTAAAATTTATACAATGACATAGACTCCAGAGTAAAATATGGTTAAGTTTTAGTAAAATTCTATGCTGTATGATGCTACTGTAACAAAATTACAGCATGGTAACAAAATTGGATGAATGAGCTGTGGAGACAGTTACATTAGTATGTTTTACCAAAGAAATCTGTATATTTATATCTCCACAGCACTTAGAAATAGAAATACAAAATTTGCTGTATAAAATAAACTTTACTAGAAGATACATTCAGTATACCACTATAGATATTTCAGCTGCTGGTGATGTTTATAGAATATAAGCATACACTTCTTTGTTTTGTAATGAATATAGCTGTCACTGCAGCTCATTTATCCAATTTTGTTACCATGCTGTAATTTTGTCACAGTAGCATCATATAGCATAGAATTTTATTAAGACTTAACCATATTTTACTCTGGAGTCTGTGTCATTGTATAAATTTCACAATATTTCATTTTTCAGCTATTTTCACTACATTTTTTCTGGCACCTGGTGCTTGTATCAAAGTAATACCTCAGAAGGATGCTAATAGTAGCCTAGTATAAGATTTGTATATACACTATCTGGCTAGGTACAGTGGTCGTAGAGATACGAAGGGATTATAACACTCCTTTGTAGTGTTGTGCATTATTTTTGGCGGCCACTGTAGGTAGCACCACGATGAAGGCATTTACCAGTAGTTTAAAGGCAGCAGACATGCACAGGAAAATAGACAGAGCCCTCTGTTGTTGAGTGCACTGAGACATTGCCTGTCAGAATGGAGCATTGCTAAAAAGCTGCCAAGAGTCACTTTTTTATCATAAATGGACATTCAGATCCTGATATCATATGCTTTCTTCTCCTTTCTCCCTCTTTGAACTTCATTGCATGTCACTCCTCCTCCTCTTTGACTCCATCACCTTAGTTTCAGACAGTTTGGCCCCTGGTTGAGAAGACGACAGCAGGAAGGCTCATTTTGTAATATATAATCTTATGTCTTGGACACAGAATGGACAAGCACCCTTTTCCCTTCTCTCTACACATAAAGTCTGCCCCTCATTGTTCATCTCCTGAGTCATTGAGTAACATCTGCAATAAGCGCAGATTTGAGTTATCGAGCAGAGTAAGAGTTTCACCTCGCATTCATTGAGCTGGAGGCTGGTGAAGCTTTGCAGCCTCCTTTGCCTCCTTGCCCACCTCCTCATTATATTTAATTCCTACATGGCTTGGGCATCAATGGACAAGTATTTCGTTTTGTTTTTTCTGCTCAAATCATGTTCTTATCACTCTGCATGCAAGGACCGCCACTTTTTGGAATGGTCCAGTTTTTGGATCTACAATCTGTTGTAGTGCTCTTTTGTTATCTTCAAAGACATATAGCTGGGTTCGATCCTCCATGCCTATTAATGCCCTCATAATACATATGGTTAGGGCAACTATCTCCACATCAAACGGAGTAGCCTTACCCATCCTGATGCACAGTCGAGTCTCTTTCAAATTTGCCTGTTCATTGTGCTTTACGATAATGGTGGCTGCCCCCATGTTTACATTTTTGGGGTCTTGTCTAGTGGGTTTCTTAATCTGCGACCCATCAGTGAAGATAGTGCAGGCATCTTTGTTTTGTAGTGCCAAGTTAATCATTGGTAGAAGTGACATATTTGTTCACTCTTTGAACTCATCAGACTCATCTTTCTTGGGTGCACTATATATGTTTATGGTGATTTTATCTTTGTAAATGTTCAGGAGATGACTGCCCAGCTAGACTTTGACATTCATGGTGTCAAACTCTTCTTTTGTCAGCTGCATGTTCTTGTGCAGATGCGCAATAGGTGTGTTCACATCTCTAGTCTTAGTTTGTCTGTACAGAAACAGAGCAGTAATGTTCATTACTGTGAGGTCATTGTCATCATCATCAAAGCTCCACAGGTGAGGTATGTGAGTGAGAATCAGTTGTCTGCTATGTAGTTTTTGTATCTGCAGAGCTGCCCTTTTCATGAGTTTGTCTACATTTCTTTCAATGGGCATTAATCCTGCCACTATTTCCAGGAATCTGCATGGTGTGGTGTGGAAAGACTGTGTAATCCAGCACACTGCTCTCATTTGAGCAGCCTGTAGTTCCTTTTGTATCCACTTAATGCCTTTCCACTTTGGCCTCTATCAAAAGTGTGCACCATAGGTGATGACCAGTATGACATTCAAGATGTATAGCTGTTGCTTGTCTTTAGGGCTAAGCCTTCGTGATGAGTTACCCAGCATTTGTAGTGTCACCAGGATGCTCATGTTCTTAGTGGTGAATTTCCTAACATGTTTGTAGAACATGAGTCACGGATCTAGCATGAAGCCTAGATACCTCATCGAGCTCTTGGGTTTTACCATGTACATGTGGTCTCCATCTCTCATCAGGAGTTTGGGCTTCAACGGTTTGTTGGTAGTCTAGCATTCTTTTACTTTATCTCTGCATCTTCTTATGAAGTGCATGAGTTCTAGTTTGTCTGTCTTGACAGATAAGCTGATCATTCCAAGAGATTTGACCACTTTCTCATATAATCCTCGGAACAGCATGTTGTTGTACAGCAACTGTTTATAGTCACTCTCTAATGAGTCTCCACTTAGCTTTCCTGCTATGTGGATTAGTTCATCATTCACAAAGAACTGGACAATGGAATATCCACTCGTCTTAAGCTCTTTCCTGAACCATGCCGTTTGAACTGCAGTTGGTACGCCATTTATTTTTATAACAATGTTTTTTGTAACAGATGCCACATCATGTATGGCTGATGCAATTTATAGTTCAGCTAGAATAGAGGAGACTTGATCCTTGTTCTACTTCTGTAGAGAAGTTCATAGGTTCCAGTATCTGTCTATTCAACATGAACCTGGTCTGCCTGTCCTGGATGTAACTCTTGAAGTACGTGCATAGCTTGGGATCAAATTTTTGTTTTGCCACGATTTTCAAAAGGATACCGTGGTTGACTAATGGGAAGAACTGAGCAACATCTAGAAGGACCGCCAAAGAATTCAATCCCTGTTTTCACATTTGGTTAATATTGTGTACTAGCTGGATGCCTGCATCTTGTGTGCTATGTTAAATTGTTCCGCCAAATTGGCATGGGCGCAGAATCTCATATTTCTGTCCCTCAAATTGCATACAATGCGCAATTATTTTCTTCATCAGCTTACCCAAGCAGTTGAGCAATACGATGGGGCAATATACTTTTGCCTTAGTGTAGTCTGGCCTATTCAGTTTAGAAAATACAACTATATTTGATACTTTAAATATTCATGGTTGTACACTATGTTCTATGCACACATTGTAATATGCCACCATAGGTTCTTTGATGTCTCTCTTGTCAGAGGTCTCTGGGTTGTACTGGGGCCTACTCTCATCCTTCAGTATTTTCTTTAGCCAGAACTAAGATACATTATCCAGTTTCTGGCACTAAGAAATTACTAGTGTTCTAAAGTCCCTCACGTAATTTTTTGCACAAAATGTGCTGGAACTTCTGCATTTGTTTTTGTTCCATCTGGTCAATCAATCCATCATTGACCAGGGTTGGATTGGACAGTGTAAACTGTTTGTGTAGGATTTTGCCTACTTTGTTGGAATTGGACGCAATCTGGCTCTAACTGTCTGTCAGTACCATGTTCACTTCTTGTCTCCGCGGTTTGGTTTACTCCACCATATCTCAGATACAGCTGGAGTCTGTCTTTTTCATGATACCTTTAAACAAGTCTTTCTTTACCTTCCGGGTTGTCCTCTTGAGGGCTTTGCCTCTGAACTTGACTTTGTCTTTCAGATTGTCAATTTTTGTTACATATTGGAACTCTGGCTCTAACAGCATCTGGAGCTCCTCATCCTTGTTGGGGTTAATTTCCGCTTGTGTGATGTGATTGCATGCAAGATGTAACTCATGTCTCAAGTCTCTCGATGTATGTTTAGCCCTTGTGAATCGTTTTTGCAAGGATTGTAACTCTTTGTTGCATTTTGTACAGTTCATGCTCTATTATGACTTTGAATGTCTGGTTGGTTTACACTTCTCTACGTGCACTTTCTATGCCTCAGCAAGCGAGTAGTCTATCCACTCCCCCCATCACTCTACATTTTTTCAGAGTGCGTAATCTGTCTCCAACTTGGAGAGTTAGTTTAGTCTCACTTGTATTTCTTTGATAAAATTGGCTCCACTTTCAGAGCCTTGTTTGACTGTGTATCACTCAGTTTCTACGACCTTGATGTCAAGCTCGAGGAACACTGGTGCATGATCACTCATTCCTTGTTCTGCCATTTTCACAATGGGGTTTCTGGTCAGCATCATGCTTCTATGAATTCAAAATAGGTCTAGTACTCTGTTTAATTGGTTGTTGTCATGATTGAACGACTACGTTAGTCATCGTTCTGCATCTTGAACTAGGATCATGTTCACTTCCAGGCTGGCCAAAGCTATGAGCTTGTCGACCCTTCTATTAGCTTTCCTGGTGATATTGCATATTTCATAGTGATAGTTGAAGTCTTCTGCTATAATGTTTATTTCTGTAAGTTGTTTGACATGATTTGCAAGGTAGCTCTGTGCAGCGTAGTGATCTGAATCATTATAAACATTTATTATGCATAGTCTACCACCATTTGGGAGTGAAAGCTCCATGCAGTGAAGATCTCAGTGTTTAATCACTTTTGAATTTATTTGGAGTTGCTATGTGCGCAATTTGCTTGTTGACATATGTCAACACCTGTGAATCTTTTCCTCTGCTGAAGAATGTAAACTGTCTGTGAGTTACATTTCCCTCATATTTGTCTCCTTCCTTGTCCATATAGAATGCTACTTGTTTGATACATTCATGATATGGCTCTTGAACTAGAACAATGTCCACATTCTTGTAATGTCACTCAAGAAATGTGAAAAGATTTTCTTTGGAGCGTTGCATGTTGTATGTGACAATGACTAACCCTGTTTTGGTTTCAGGTAGTTTGCTCTGTGTTTCATTGTCTGGATCATTTAGATGTAACTTTGCCTCTTGTCTCAGTTGCTCAATGTCTAGTTCGGAGAATAGTTTGTCATTCTCATCTTCATGCCCATTGTCACTTCCATGATCAGACTTGTCTATCCAGATACTGTCTATCTCTAGTGTTTTAAATATCTGGTCTATTGTCATTTTGTTTTTGTCATGTTCACTCAGAAAGTCAAAGTTCCAATCTTGTGATATATTCAATGCGCAGTTTTCTGGACTTGCATCCACTTTCTTGCTGTGTATGTTACTCATACAAATGCTTTGGTGCAGGGAATAAATTCTATAGTAGGGTTGTGCCTAGGCAGCATCAGTCTCGGTGTAGCAAAAATTGGTTCAAATTCACGTTCATGCCATGTAACCAGATCTTTGCTAAGTCCTGTCAGTGCACCGTTTATATTTGCCCACAGATTGTTTTCTGCCTCCCCCACAATCTCTGCCATAACCACTGTACGAGCCAGGTTGAGTTCTTAGATGGTGTACTCTATCTAGCAGGAGTGCAATCATCAATAGTTCAGCTGAAAGCCATGCTCTAGTGTGCACCTTGCTGATTAGAGTTAGAATGACTGCATTCTCGCAGTCACGCTTGTTTCCTTGCACAGCCATGCTCTTCTTCCAGTCAGTCTCCTTGACTACTGCTGAGATGACATCAGGGATGAAGCTCTTCGTTAGCTTTCTAGAGTGAGCATCATTGTAGTACTTCATGACATTGAAGGAGTTGTTGACCAGGATGATCTCACGGAGTTTGCGGTGCCTGATTTCTTCTTCCATGATATTGTTAAGAATGATGCTTCATTTTCTCTTGGAGAGGGAGCGTTTCTTTGTTCAGTAACTACGATAGGGAATTAGTTGCAGAGGAACTGTGAGTTGCAGTTATTGGTATCATAGACCTCATTAATGACTGCGGCGTTGACATGAGCAAATTGCTGCCTGGTTTTGTTGCTGATCTGTGCACAAATTTACCTCACTTCCTTCTCATATTCATTGTTGTGGGCAGCTTGTTGCCTGCCACATTTGTTCTCAAAGATATCGTCAGGCCCGATGAGAGTTGGTGCTCTACAGATCATGTAAAAGGATAGGAGAGTTGTCGTACTGGGACATGTTAGGCTTAGACAATGTGTAGAAGGCTCTGTCCAGCATGTCAATTTGTCAGGAGTATATATACACTTTTACAGGTGCTATTATACAGTAAAACGGAGAAGAGACCTGGTACTTAGTCATCTCACATTTCATCAGCTTCTCAGTCATTGATCAAGCTTTTCTTTTCATTACTACTGCTGAGATCAAGTGCACTTCTTTTTTTCTTGCCCTTGGGCATAGAGAGGCCTTTCATACCTTGTGCCTGCAACATATCAGCTGCAGGGTTGTACTTCAATGTATGAACAATCTTGCTATCATGAATTCTCTTGAGCTTAAAGTGTTCTTCAAACCACTTACGGTCCGTCTGGTGTCTGTAGTGCAGGCATATGTTGAGATCGAAGGGTCTATGGCCTGCTTGGCCACAGTTCCTGCAGTGCGCATGTTTAAGGGTGCAGTCAGCCATGTAGGGGTCCAGAATGTCCTGACACTTTTCAATGCATTCCAGATGTTGGCAGAAGTGTTTTTTGGCTCGTGTATCAGTGCATGTATCACACGTATATGATGATATGTGTACCCATGTGATTCTGTCAAGTGTATCCTGGAACATTTGCAGCAGACAAATGCCAGCTTTCTAGTGCATCCTTCACACATTCCCCTGGTGTGTCCCCAGTGTGTGCATTTGTGGCACTGTGGGACAAAGTCAATGATTCTTGCATTATGCATGACAAACTTATTTTTTCTGAGAGTGACTGACTGTCCTCTCTTTATCCACAGCTCTATCTTTGTCTGTAGGTCTTATGCATAACTGCATGAGTTTAACCACAAACTGTAATGCATTAAAAGCCTAGATTTGCCATAGACTTGTAATACATTACTTTGGCCTATTCTATAGCTATGGGTCACCTTATACTATAGAACTAATGCATTAATTGCTACCTTTTCCAGGCTATTGATAAGAGGGTTAGCTTTAATGTAACATGTATAAAAGGTATTGACATTATCTGAGTTTGAAATATAGATATCTAAGAGTATCTAGAGCAAGTAAGCAAGCAAGCAAACTATCTAATATAGCAAATATTGCACATATAGCTGTATTCTGGAAGACCAATCAATATGGAATATATTGCAAAATATGTGATGGGCGCTTATTTCCGTTTTTGACAATAATATACAATACAATCAAGATGCGCTATCACATGTCTCAATATTAATGGAGAAAAACGCAAAATACTGAAAAAATCGCGAGTTTTAGAGCTCTTTGACATGCCAGAGGGCAAAACTAGTGCATCAAGTGCTACAAAGCTGCTGCCAGGCACTCAGGCTTATTGGCACTTAATGAGGCCACTCTATTAATTTTGCTTTTAGAGCTCATTCCTTGCTCAATTCTTGCTCTCTTCTCTATTCTGTGACCTTTAAGTAGTGTGGCTTATGTGTATATATTTATGTACAGCATGTATGCATGTTTTGGTATGAATCTGACTACTGTATTTTATACTTGTTGTGGGCGTAGCCCCGGCCTCCTATTATTTTTCTATTTTCCCCAATTTTCCACAATTTATTCTACGTTTGTACAACTCTCCAAATGTCATTGGCGCATTGGCACCAGTTTACAAGTCCTAGCTGTGTGCTAACATCTCAGAAATGCATCACCGACAAACACACATCAGTGCATCAAACGCACCCGTAATGCCACCACCTTGTTGCCACATCAAGCTTTCTTGGTAACAGCTGCACTCCGATCTCCACCAGACCTTCTATTTCCGAGTCTGATTGGCAATAGACATCTGATTCCTGTTGGCCCAACAACATCATATGCTATGACACACTGACCCCCATTTCTTACCGAGTTCCCTAAATACTTGCAGACGCCATAGCTATAGTAGCTTAGGTAATGCCTGGTCTGTGCACAACCTGAACCGTATATAAAGGGCCCCTCTGTCACTATCTAGCCCCATCTCAACTCTTGGTTATTTGGGCTAGGTAAGCCTTCGTTTGTATTCTAGCACAATCACTAATACACTTGGTTATTTGGGCTAGCTGAACAAGCTAACACAATTATCACCAGACCACTATTGGCGCCGCCTTTTGATTAGATCTGCACAGTATTCCTTGTAGTGTGTTGACATCAGTCTACATCATTAGATTGAGATCTTTGTGCACCCAGACTATATCCGCCTATCCAGTGCCCCATGCACAGTTTTAAAAAAGTTTATTCCCTCTGTTTAAAGAGTAAGTCTCTTTGGCGATTGGTGGCAGATGTACGCACGTAGTGCTAATCTCTGCATAAAACCAGTGCCCAAGAATTTGCCCAATCACTCTCGTGCATTTAAATGCCATACGGACAAGTGTCACTTCCACCTCTGCTATGCACTGCCCGAAGCCATATTTGACTAACTCAGTCAAGAACACAACACAGGCACTCTGCACCAATACACCACAGCCAAACTCAGAGCTGTTGTTTGGCACATCTCCACACTCCTGCCACCATCCACCTCGCTCCCAACTATCGACTGGAACACTGTCGAACAGGCTAAGCTCGCTGCACACAATAATCACCAGCACTTTCAGGCACAGCGAGACCAAGCCCACGCTAGGCAAAATGTACACATCAGCTCCTCCTCCAGCCGTCCTCTAGCAGATTGCCTTACTGCTGCCCCTACCTACACATCTATTGCCCCAAAGCCAGCCACCATTAACTTCTCCAAGCACACGGCTGCAGACCTCGCTCGCATCTTCATGCTGAAGTTTGCCGCTATCCTCAAAAGGTTCAACGTCCTCGAGACACTCGACTGCTCGGACGTTCTTGCTAACAACATCAGCGTCATTTTCAAACTTTGCGACTGCCTCGCTCACCTTAACCGCACTTTCAAAGACGTGTCCCACATCATCAGCATTGAAGAGTGAAACCACTGGGACTCAGGATTGAAGGAGATTGGCGGGGTTTTGTTTAAAGGACTTCGTTGCAACCAAGTCCAAATTTTTAAAGCACTTTGCGCAGTTTGAAACAATAAGTATTTTGACTAGAATAGTAAAACTGAACGAATACATACTCTTCGAATACATAGACTACAACGAGGAAAGAATCTTCAATCCGTATATACTAGACTACGTGCTTGAACACCTTGTCAAGTTAGAACTAGTACAATTATTCCAAGAACTTCCTTTTCACTATCTATAAACCTGTTCTTGGTCCTCTTAAACGAATCAGACACAATGGCAGACATCTGCTTAGTTTGTGCAGCATTAGCACATATTTACAACTTTCAAGACGCTCGAGACTACTACGTCACCAACAATAGAGAGTTAAACACCTGTACCAACTACCTCTGTCCTAATCAATACTACAAGCATCCCACACGATCTATCATTACCGAGGATCTGCCCTACCTATTCATAAGCAGAGAACAGGAACAGGAGATCTGCAGCCAATACCAACTAGACGAGCACGTCACCGACCACAGCGAACTCACTCTCGACGACCTCAGACCAATAACCAGCAAGATGGACAGGCTAGTCACCAGGCCTCTTGGTCAAAACACTCTGGCTAATCCACCGACTGACTTTCTAGCACCAGTATACCAGGCAACTATGCAGAACATGATGGATCTTATGGCCACACTCATTCAGGACGTCAATGATCTTACAGTCAGCGTGAACCAGTTTATTGTGAATGCACACCAGCTGGCTGCATCAGTTTTGTCTACCCAGTCCAGGTTCTTTGTTGAGAAACCCTCCACTTTCGATGGCAAGTCATCAAAAAAAGCCAGGCTCTTTTGCAGTGCCTTCCACGTCTATGTTCGAGCCAATAAAGAGATTCTTGCATTGCATGACACTAATGATGCTATCCGCTATGACACTAGTGGCAACTGGCTGATGGACCCTGTCAAAATGACCACTAGTATTCTCTCATTCATGACAGACAATGCCGCAGTTTGGACTCGCCCTCACATCAAAGACCTCTCAGAAGGCCATACTCCGTTCAACTCCTGCTGGACAGAATTTGTCAAACAGTTCTCAGCTAAGTTCAAACTAGTAGATGCCAAAAACGAGGCCAAACAAAAGCTCATGTTGATCAAGCAAAGCAATAGGACATTTGCAAACTACCTTTTGGAGTTCAAAACCTATTCTTGTTGCACCAGCTGGTTAAACAACGACTTGTATGATTGTCTCAAATCTGGCATGAACTCCAATTACCTTAACAGACTGTCATATTTTGCTTCTTTGGCCACAGACTACAATGCGGTAGAGGGATACAGAGCAACAATTGATCTACAGAAAGCAGACTTAGCAGTCAATTAAAGCAAACCAGTCTTGCAGCCCCGATCAACAACAACCCGCTCATCTGGTTTTCGTGATCCTAACACCATGGACATTGACACTATGGATATTTCAGCTGCCCACTTTGATGACCTCTTTCAAGGACTCAAAGACCCTGCAAAGATCAAGCGGCAATATAACAAGCTGATGGTTGGTCACTGCCGCATCTGTGGCTCCAAAGATCATAAAGCAGATGGAGCACACAAAGACACTAAGTGCCAACACTGCAGTAAGCCCGGTCATTGGAAAAAGCTTTGCCCATCACGGCTAGCCAAACAACCAGCAAGGCCACAATCAGTCAGAGCTATATTATCAACTACTTCCTCGTCTTCTGCTTCTATCTCCACGTCCCAAGACTCTGCTGCCAATGTAGCTAGTTTTAAAGACATGATATTTCTGATGCAGAAACAACAGGCCGAGTTAATGGCAAAACTAAGCCAGAGTTTTTAGCAAGGGCCCAGACTAAAGCTGCAGCTCTGGCACCCAGTTTAGATCAGCGGCCTTTAATAGCGTCGGCTTCTGTATGTTCAGACTTGGATCCTTTGGACTGCGTCTCGTCATGTACAGTTTCATTTATAGATCATCTCTTGTCTCATTTTCGTGTATTTGTAATACTATCTGAAATGAATAAGTCTTTATGCACACCTGCTATGATTGACTCCGGTGCTCCTGGTTATTTTCTACACAAGAGATTTGCACACAAGAATAACATCTATAAATGACTACTCAAATAACAGATCACCCTCCAAAACATTGACAGTTTAACTAATAGCACTGGTGCCATCACACACTACGCTAGACTTAAAGTCAAAATTGGATCACAAGCTCCTGAAGAATACGACTTCTTTATCACAGACATCAGTTCCAAAAATATCATCTTCAGACTACTGTGGTTAAAGAAAGTCAGCCCCAATATAGACTGGGAGACAGGCAAAATGATGCTTTCTGACAGCTCAGAAGCATTGCCTAATCCTTCTATGTCACCAAGTTTAACTAAAGTTGAAGCTAATTAAGCAGAATACTAGGCCTGGGTGAAGGCTGGCTTGCTCGACAACGCTACAGACAAAGTTTATTGCCTAGCGGGTTACACTTACTTGCAAAAAGTCACAGTCAAGCAGAATAAGGAAAAGTACTCGAAGACCTTTGAACTTTTTTGATAGCATCATTGAGGAAAGCTTGTAGTTCCTGATTTTTAGTGGAACTTATTGGATAGACTTTTGAGCGGATTGTGGAAGGAGCATCTGATTTATGTGTCGTGGGCGTAGCCCCAGCCTCCTATTTTATTCCCATTTTCTCCGATTTATTTCACGTTTATACGACCCTCCAAACGTCGTCGGCGCATAGGCGCCAGTTTACAAGTCCTAGCCGCGCGCTAACACCTTGAAAACGCATCACCGACGGGCACGCATCAGCGCATCAGACGCGCCTGCATTGCTGCCGCCTCGTCGCCGCATCACGCTTTCTCGGTAAACAGCCGCACTCCGATCAGCAACGGACATCCGATCTCCGTCGGCCCGACAACGTCATACAACATGACACACCGGCCCCCGTCTACCTCCGAGTCCGATCAGCAACGGACTTCTTATCCCCGTCGGCCCGACAGCGTCATATGGTATGACACACCGGCCCTCGTTTCTCCGCCTAAGTCCCCTAGACACTAGCAGTTGCCGTAGCACCAGTTGCTTATGTAAAGCCTGGTCCGTGCGCAGCCTGACTAGTATATAAGGCTCCCCTTTGTCGCTACCTAGCCCCATCTCAACCTCTTGGTTAATTGGGCTAGGTAAGCCTTTACTTGTATCGTAGTACAGATTGCTAAAATACACTTGGTTAATTGGGCTAGCTGAACAAGCTAACACATCAGTCGCCAGACCTCGTCGGCGCCGCCTTCTGATTAGATCCACGCAAGTATCCCTCGTGGTGTGTTGACGCAAGTCCACATCATTATGGTCAATAGAGTGATCCCATGGCTTGTGTTCAGGAATCCTTATTGAATCAGTCTCTGAGAAGACGTGAGCATGTCAGTGATATTCTTTTGGGACAAGCTGGCTACATTATCCCCAACAAGTCATCCATAGCTTCGCCTGTCTTCTTTATCAAGAAAAAAGATGGCAAGCTCAGGCTTATCCAGGACTATTGTAAGCTCAACGATGCCACTATTCAGAATAGATACCCGCTGCCCCTTGCTAACAATATCATCAACAAGCTACAGGGAGCAAAAATCTTCTCTAAGTTCGACGTCTGCTGGGGCTATACAAATGTTTGGATCAAGGCTGGAAACAAATGGAAAGCTGCTTTTGTCACCAATTGTGGGCTCTTTGAGCCTCACGTTATGTACTTTGGATTGACCAATGCACCAGCAATCTTTCAAGCCCTCATGGACACAATCTTTGCAGATCTCATTGCTGAAGGCAAAGTCGCAGTATATCTAGACGACATCCTCATTTAGTCTTCAGACCTTGCCTCACACCAAAAGATAGCACATGAGGCACTAGAGCGTCTTAAAGAATATAATCTCTATTTATGTCCTGAAAAGTGCGAATTTGAGAAAGACTAGATCGAATACCTCGGCCTTCTCATCAGCAAAGGATCAGTCAGCATGGACCCTGGAAAAGTTAAAGCAGTTACAGAATGGCCTACATCTGCGAATCTAAAAGATGTTAGAGGTTTTGTCGGGTTTGCCAACTTTTACCACCAGTTTATCAACGACTTCTCCAAGATTGCTCACCCGTTGCACAACCTCACTAAGAAAGATGTTCCTTTCATGTGGGGCTCTGCACAACAACAGGCTTTCAACACATTGAAGTTCAAGTTTACAACTGAACCTGTTCTTGCACTCTGGCACACCAACCAAGATACATGAGTACAAGTTGATGTCTCAGAGTACGCTACTAGAGGTGAAATCAGCCAGTTCGACCCGAATGACACTTTATGGCACCTGATTGCCTTCTGATCACAGACCATGAACGCTGCCAAACGTAATTACAAGATCTACGACCGCGAACTCATAGCTATCATCAAAGCACTCCGAGACTGGTGACACTTCCTTGAAGGACTACCTAAGCCATTCAAAATCTGGACTGATCACACAAATCTCCAGTATTTGCATACAGCACAGCGACTTACTTGTAGACAGGCCTGATGGGCTCTCGAGCTCGCCAATTATGACTTCATGCTTACCCTTAAGCCTGGAAAAACGCATCTTGTCGCAGACCCACTCTCTTGTCCTAGCTCTCAATATATCTCTGACAATATGGACAACCAAATGCAAGTTGTGCTATCTGACAACAGATTTGTCAGTGCCACCAACCAAGGCCTAAGCCTGGAACACTTTGTACAACTTGCTGTTACAGTATTTGTCACAAACTTCTCTCTAGAACAAGAAATCTGCAATGTCACCTCTTTTGACGATGAGGTCTCCACTGCACTTTCTAGCCTCCAAGCCAAAGGGCCTCACAAACTAGTCAGCAGACTCATGAAATGGGAAGAAAATGACGGTCTCATCTATTACAAGGGCAAGCTCTATATACCAAACAATGTTGCCCTTCATAACAAGATTATTGAGTCCTGTCATGACACTCCTACTGCTGGACACCCAGGGAAGCATGGAACAATTGAACTAGTCTCCTGTTACTACTGGTGGCCAGGCATGAACTCCACTATAGCATGATACGTGGCTGGATGTGACAAATGTCAGAGATACAAGGCGCCAAACACCCAAAAGCAACTCTCACGCCACAAGAGGTTTCTGCTGGACTTTGGCAACATATTGGAGTCAATATGGTTGGCCCCCTTCCTCAGACCAAGTCCTCTAGAAAATATGATGCAGTCACCGTCTATGTTGATCACTACAGCAATCAAGTACATCACGCACCTTGCCGAACTACCTTCACAGTCAAAGGAGCTCTCGAGATACACTTTCACAAAGTGTTCAAACACCACAGTCTTCTGTGCAAAATCTTCTCAGATAGAGCACCACAGTATGCAGCCCGCTTCATGCGGAGTTTATACAAATGACTTGGTATTGAGTCAGGTTTAACCACAGCCTACCACCCAGAAGACAATGGCAAAGTTGAAAGAAAGAATGCTGAGGTATCAAAATTCCTCTGGTTATTCTGTTCACAATGCCAGGACAACTGGGATGAATGGCTACCCATGGCAGAGTTTGTACTCATCTCACAAATACATACTGCCAATGAACACTCTCTTTTTGAAGTTCTCTATGGATACAGGTCCGACTTCACTGTCCCAGCTGAAAAATATTCTAATATCCCCTCGCTGAACAACAGGCTGGATTGCATGGCTCAAATCCGCAAAGAAGCAGAAGCAGCTCTTCACTAGACTAAAGAAAAAATGAAGGCTGACTATGAAACTCATAAAAACTCACCTCATTCTTTCAAAGTCAGAGACAAAGTCTAGTTATCTTCAAAGGATATCTCAATACATCAGCACACTCGCAAACTCAGACCCCAACAACTCAGACCATTTACAGTGACTGAGGTAGTCGCTGATCTAAACTACCGCCTCGAACTATCAAGCTGGCTCAAGGTTCATTCTGTCTTCCATGTTGATAGGCTCAGCCTATACCACAACAATAGAATGAACAAACCTACACCTCTTCCACCAGTAGTAGTCAACAATGAGAAAGAATATAAAATCAAAAAGATTCTGGATTCACGCGTCTATCACAGACAGCTTCAGTATCTCATCAGATGGAAAGGATATGGACAAGGTGCCAACAAATGAATCTCTGCCAAAGATGTCCATGCGAAAGAATGCGTACGTGACTTTCACTGGCAAAATCTCTTGGCACCACAACAAATCTCCACCACCTCTTTCAGTGAACTCCACAGTTGCTTCAAGCCTATCTACAAACACACCAACTTCAACTCAACACTAGCCACTAACCCTAAAGCAGCAAAATTTGAGTGGGAATTGGGCAGAATACAGGCTATGTCTTCTCGCCAGGAGTCTTAATTGTAGGAAGGGGTAATGTCGTGGGCGTAGCTCCAGCCTCCTATTATTTTTCTATTTTCCCCAATTTTCCACAATTTATTCCATGTTTGTACGACTCTCCAAATGTTATTGGCGCATTGGCACCAGTTTACAGGTCCTAGCTGCGTGCTAACATCTCAGGAATGCATCACCAATAGATACGCATCAGCACATCAAACACGCCCATAATGCTGCCACTCTATCGCTGCATCATGCTTCCTTGGTAACAGCCGCACTCCGATCTCCACTTGACCTTCTATCTTCGAATCTGATCGGCAACAAACATTCAATCCCCATCAGCCTAACAATATCATATGCTATGACACACCAGCCTCCATTTTTCACCGAGTTCCCTAAATACTTGCAGATGCCATAGCTACAGTAGTTTAGGTAATGCCTGGTCCGTGCGCAATCTGAACAGTATATAAAGGGCCCCTCTGTCACTACTTAGCCCTATCTCAACTCTTGGTTATTTGGGCTAGATAAGCCTTCATTTGTATTTTAGTACAATCACTAATACATTTGGTTATTTGGGCTAGCTGAACAAGCTAACACAATCATTGCCAAATCACCATTGGTGCCGCCTTTTGATTAGATCCACGCAGTATCCCTTGTGGTGTGTTGACGTCAGTCCACATCAATACTACTGCATTGTTTCTTTTATAATTTCAATTTTTATACTCTAGAAGTAGTAAAGAGCTCTTTATAGAGCTGCTACACGTTTGGCAATGCTGTATACTTATATTAGACATGCATAGGAGTGTGTGAAAGAATTTGGGAAGCCTGTAACATACTGCAATTCTCTACAGAAGCTGCGAAGTTTTCACAAAAAAAAGTGCCAGATCACAGGTTTTCTTATACTGAGAGGGCTCGTTTAAAACCTATTATCAAACGCACATATTTAGTTTTTGATCTTATGCCTTGGAACCTGCCCAATCTAACAGATTTGACTATGGGAAACAGGCACCTTTTTGCTGTTTTGACTACAATTTGCTCTATACAGGCTCAATGGCTTAGATTCAGATAAGCGGACCACTCCCAATAAATTTCTAGCATAGTAAAACAGTAGAGCACAAATTGTCAGGTCCATAGGACATGTATTGGGGATGTAGTGCACTGGTTAACCTGGGAATGTCATGCTAATAAGATTTTGAGCACTCTGCAA